CGAAATCTTTTCTCCAGAAGACACCACAAAGAAAGAAAGAAAGAAAGAAAGAAAGAAAGAAAGAAAGAAAGAAAGAAAGAAAGAAAGAAGAAAAGGAGAGGAAAGAAAAGAAGGTAAACCACAGATTAAAAAGGAGGCAGTAGCAAGGCACAGTGTTGCGCGCCTACAGTCCCAGCTACTAGGGAGGCTGAGGGGGGAGGACTGCTTGAGTCCAAGAGTCCTGGGCTGCAGTGCACTATGCTGACCTGGTGTCCACACTAAATTCAGCACCTAATGGTCCCCAGAAGCCGGGGACCATTAGGTTACCTACGTAGGGGTGAGCCAGCCCAGGTTGGAAATGGAGGAGATCAAAACTCCCGTGCTGATCAGTAAAAACAATACTACATAATTCATATATGACAAAAACAACTTTCATTCAGACCATATAAAGAAAAAGAACTCACATTTAGTAAAATAGGTCTGAGCAAAACATTTGAAATGCTTCAGGAAAGATGACTGAGTAACTGACAAGCACATGAAATGGCCTCCTCCATAAAGAAAAGTGAAATTGAGGAAAGTCATCCCCACATGATGACCCAATTAAAAGACAATGACCCAAGAGCACAGACATGAAGCAATTATTTATAGAAATGCAAAATGACAGTCGCTTTGTAAAACAGTTTTGAAATTTCTTCTGAAGTTAAGCAGGAACTTCTATAACCAATCCCATTCTTAGGTCTTTACTCAAATTGAATGAAAAATTTATGTACACATGCAAACTATTATAGCAACTTTGTTCATAATTACCACAAACAGGGGGAGACCCTGGCCATCAGTTAGTAAACAAACTATGGTACATCCATAAAAAGGTGTCTTACCCATAATAGAAAGAGTTACTGATAGGTATGACAAGATAGAAGGATATCAATGAATGCAGACTCAAGCAGTTACAGAATGTATCACTCCATCGATACAATATTCAACAAAAGGTAAAACTACAGGGGACAGAAAACAGATCAAGGATTTCGAAGGATACCTGAGATAAATTGCATAAAAAGAGACATAAATAGTATCAATGAATTCCATAAATTGATATTAGCAAAACATAGTACTTAGGGGTGCATGTTTAGTGGATAAAGCTAAAAGAAAAAACAGAAAATAAATTCCAGAAAAGTTGAGATACTGCTTAACTTTGAGGGGTAGTTGAAGGGGAAGTGATAAGAGAAAGACATAGAAATATGGGACCTACCAGTGTATCAGCATTGTTCTACTTCTTTTTCTGGTAGTTAAATGAATGTATGTGATAATTTATTTGCTTATATTTTATTTATACATTGTATTTTTATCATTTTATACAATTTATATTTTGTATCCTTTTCTCTTTGTGATATGAAAAAAGATTAATTATAAAAGAAAGCAAGCCAAGAAACTCACAGTAAATCATGAAATAAAAGAGTGTGTGCGTGCGTGCGTGTGTGTGTGTGTGTGTCCATCCTTTCTGGACTTGAATATTGCCTCTACCACTTATTAGATACGTGTCTTTAGACAGGTTTTATAACCTTTCTCACTGTAACATGGAGAATCCACACCTGCTTCATAAACTTATCATGTGGATTTAAAGAGACAGATGCAAACATGTCAAGGTACCTGTTCAGCTCCCAGCTCACTTTTTGGAGTTCACCTCATTCAGAGGTAGGTCCAAAATAGCCACAATTTTGTTTTACACATTCCCTACCTCTGCCCAGGAGGCTCAGAAGTGCCCAAGCCTTTACCCAAGTAGGCTAATCACAGTTTTTTGTAAAATTCAGAATAAGGAATGAGTAAATTCACTGTCTGTGCTATATCATGAACAGAAGAGATGTAAATCTCCAGAACACTATCAATGACTTATCTGAAAAGGAAATCGAGAAAACAATCCTACTTACAACAGTACCAAAATAAATAAAATAGGAATAAATTTAACCAAAAAACATGAAAAATCTGTATTTTGAAAATTATAACATATTGATGAAAATTGAACAAGACACAAACAGATGGAAGGAATCCTATACTCATGGATTTAAATATTAAAATGCTTACATGACCCAAAGCAATCTATAGAACCAGGACAATCACTATCAATTACAATTACATTTTTCACAAAAATAGAAAAATCAATCCTAAGATTTGTATGGAACCAAAGAAGATTCCAAATAACCAAAGCAATCTAAAACAAAAGAATCATTTTGCATTACACTTCCTGCTTTCAAAATACACTATAAAGCTATAGTTACCAAAATAGCATGGTACTAACAGAAACGCATAGACCAGTACAAAAGAACAGATATCCCAAAAATAACACCAACACATCTACAGTCTGTAAGTGATTTTCAAAACAAGTGCCAAGAACATATAGCATAAAGGACATGCTTCAATACACAGTAGTGGGGGAAACTGGATATCCACATATACAATGAAACTGAACTCTAACTTCACTCCAAATATAAAAATCAACTTGAAATAGATTATATGTAAAACCTAAACTGGCAAACTGACAAGAAGAAAACAGTAAAACATGATTTCTTGCATATGACCACAAAAAACACAGGCAACAAAAGCAAAAACAGGTACTGGCGTTGCATCAAACTATTAGAATGACTATTTTCAAAAAGACAAAAAATAACACGTATTGTCTTGGCAAGAAGTGGTGACTAGGAAATGCTTACACAGTGAAGGTGGAACTATAAATTAGCACAACAATTAGAGAAGACAGTATGGAGGTTCCTCAAACATTTAAAGACAAAGTTACCCCGTAAATCAGCAATTTCATTTCTGGATAACTTTCCAAAGAAAATGAAATGTGTGTCACAAAGGTAACTGTACTCCCACATTCATTGCACCATTATAACTTTATCTTGATTAATTTACCCACATTTCCAAAAATACACAAAAACAATTCTTGTATCATACAGCTACTCCAGTCAGTTTTATGCACCAAAGTTCTCCATCAGATCTGATCAGAGGTATACACCAGACCATTACATAAAATATTTTAAGACCAACTGGAGTGAAAAAAAAAAAATCACATTTCCTTAATATACAGAAAGTAATATTTCTGAAACAAAATATCAATTTTAATACTCTGCACTGATATTTTTACCTAAGGTATGAAAACAACATATAAAATACATTCTAGCCCATAATTCTCTTAATAAAATAAGGGATTTTTTGCTATGTATACTATCTGAGCTTTGGTAAATATACTTTTTTCTCAATAAACTTCCAATTGTAATTCATATTTGCCTGTAAATAGTACCACACACATTGAAATAATATTTGAAGCATCCATATTTTAAAAATCCTGAAGTACACTGGGAACTTAATTCTCATAAATTACATTGCATAAGGTACAAGAGTAATTCTTTTAAACAAGTGGGAATCTGACCACACTGCCCAGGCTGGCCCCTAGCCCCTGGGCTCAAGTGAATCTGCTGCTGAGCTCTCTGAAGTAGCTAGGACAACAGGCGCAGAGCAACACAACAGACTCACGTCATGATGAAACCATCTGGTAAGCAGCAACTTTGAAAATAAAGTGCACTTAAACACTAGAGGGTGCTCTAATTTAACAATATGTGGTAGCTGGCTTTTAAACTTAAAATAATTTTCTCCTCAAAGATAAATTAGGACAATTTTCAACACTAACAATTTTTGCTCTCAAACTAGTATACAGAATGAATTGAGAAAAATTCCATTCTTCTAAAGATATAATAAATGTGGAGGGACAACCCGCCCAGGCCCCCCTTCTGTCTCTCTCTTGGACAGAAACTCTCTTTCCCACAATAAATATATTCTGCTCTTAAAAAAAAAAATCTCAGTTGGAATCATTTTTAGTATTCAATTGTTATATATTTTATGTTGGAAAAATAGAAAATAGGCACATAAGTATAAAAATTGTCTTTGCCTATAAAGGAAATTCAGTGCTCAGATGGTTAAGAGAAGGTAAATAATACCATTTATAGGCTTAAGTTCAAGAGAAACCGTGAAATGAATTTGGTAAAAAACACGAAACTAACTGTGTTAAGGTATGGCTTAGATATTTTTACAAAGATAATTTGAAAGCTGCTATTTAAAACATAAAATAAAAGTAACACAGCAATAGCATTTTAACTGCTGTCTTAAAAAACTCTTTTTAAGTCAACAGGTACAGGAAATTGGGGGTGGGGCTGAATCCTTCAATCACAACAGAAATAACTAGAAAAGAAAAAAACTAAGTCTTTTAATAGTCAAAACAGAAATAATTATTAATTTTAAATTTTCATACATATTTATGCTTTTTGGGGATTCACCAGTCAGAAGCTCAACTAGAAACATGAAACTGAAAAATTCAAAACTGAAAAATTTGTATGTTGACATTTTGTAACCCAGGACAATTCCCTGGAATATAAGTTCCAAAGGCCTTAAATAATACAAAATAATAAAGTTGGAAGGCCAGCAAGATATATATTTTTTAAAAGTGGCTATCAACTGAGCCATTATAAATCCTAATAATGCACACTTCCTTTAAAAATGATTACAAGGAAAAAAAAGCAGAACACTATATGTACTTCTAAAACTTACAGATTTCCTGATTCTCCCCTATGAACATGTACACGCAACCCTCACACAGAACAGTCCAGCATTAAGAAGGGAGACGCTGGCTCTACCTCTCCTCTGCCTTTCCCTAACCCATTACCAAGAGCCCCAAAACAAAAGCACGTCCCTGCGGTGGCCAGCTTGGGCGAAGCTTTCAGCCTCTTTAGCAAGTGTCCAGAGTGCCACTGCCAACGCTGTGCTGTGGGACGCCAACATGATCCTATCTTGATCTTAGTTTCTCACTAACATCTACAGCTTTTGACCCTAAGTCTGAAAAGCAGAGACTGAAAATCGAGTAATAATATTAAACTACTTACCAATACTGATTTTCATCTGTTAATATGTTTCATAAAAATCTAAAAATTGTGAGTCTATAATATTCTATTCAAATAATAATTTAAGGCAAATACCTGCTTTCCATGATTTCTGAATCCTGTTGCAAACTAATAGTCTCTGTTGTAATTTCCACTTTCCGTACACTTCCAAAGAAATCAGTTATCAAGACATTTTTAGGGTCCCTCTTAAAAAGATCAGTGCGATGTCCAGGGGTAGAAACACACAAACTCTTGGGACACACTTGAAACTGAATAAAGAAAAATGAAAAAGTAATTTTAAAAAATGACAGATGAATACATTCACATAAAACCTTTATGAAATCCAATGACAATGTAGTAGACTACTACATTTTAAAAGCTCTCTCAACCTGAGGCTACTGGTTCTACAGAATAAAGTTTCATTCCCTTTGTAATATTTGACATTCTAAGAAAACTATATAGACTGAATAGAAAGCTGGCCAAAGAGGGGAAATTTTACCTCTCTGAATCATTTGCTACCAAAGATCAACCCTTCAATCTACGGAGAACTCGCACCTAACACAGAACAACAGAATCACTTTTTCTTTCCTATTACCTTTCCCAGTATGGTGCTCTATTGGACTAGTTTTCAAACATTGTATAATCACAATTTAAACTTAAAAAAATAAAATAAAATAAACTTAAAATTCAAATTACAAGGTAGTCAGATATGAAAAACAGATCAGAACAGAGCTGTTCTGGATTTTACAAAGGGAAAGCACAGCTTCCCCACCTCGTATCTCCCGGCTCTCGCTGTGAAATGCCATACTTTGCTCTTAGTTTATCCATGAGGAAAATAAACACAAGACATCTCCACTCTCATACTCCAAAATTTAAATGTGAAAATCATGACTTTTTTATAAGTAGTCTTATAAAAATGTCACAGTAATGTTTGCCTTAGTCTTAACCCTGATATTCCACATCAGTGAATTATCTAATGACATACTGCAAAGCCCAGGGTACTCACTACACACATTTCATACTGCTACCTTCCATAGCTGGTGCAAAATTCAACAAGATAAGGTCCCGTTCCTCTGAAGACATTACCAATTAGAGAAGAATAAACAACATGGTAGAAAAAAAGATGGCAGGTTCTATACCAGAAAAGGATAAGCTTAAAGTTTAAGAAAAAAGACAGTAGAGGATTTGAGGTTGGTTTTGTTTTGTTTTTGTAAGAAAGGCAGGATTTATGGAGGACAATAATATTTCTCATAAACGCACAGCTGGGGCTTGGGCACACAGCTCAGTGATCTAAGCACCTGCCTGGTACTCCTACTACTTCCAAGCGCAAGGACCTAGGTTCATTCCCTGGTACTGCATGCTGTGCCAGCCTTAGAGCCCTGGGAGTGTTGTGCCAGCCATCAAACCTGGGAGTGGTGATACACTCCTATAATCCCTGCGCTGGGGAAGCTGAGACAGGAAGATAACTAGGAGTCTGAGCTGTGTAGCAAGATTCCGTACCAAATAAACAAATAAATAAAAAGATTTTTTAAAAAATTAAGACACAACTGGAAAGGTATAAACAGACTGGCTTTCTGTGGCACAGGCTAACAAAAGAAAGGAGACGCTCACCTACCAGTAGGGCCAGGCCCACAGCCCCTGCCAACCTTGAGGCCAGACCACAAGCACAGGAACCATGCAGAGCGTGGGGCCGGAGCACGGTGTCTGCAGCACATCCAAGTGCTCCAGACATTCTCACTGAAACCCACCAACAACTCGTAGGATGTAACTCATCTCTCTCCTTCAAAGTCAGGCTCAAAGAGTTTAAACAACTTACCTAACATCACCCACAACCAACAATCTTTGCATTCTCTATTTAGGAAAGCAGTATGTACAAGGAAGCACAGAGGAGAAGAGAAATTAAGAAAAAAAAGGGGGGGGAGGGAAGACTCAAAGACATGAAAAGCCAAACAGGAAGGACACCAGCCAGTGAAAGACTGAAGGAAAAAATGAAACGTCAAATAAGTAATAACAACAACTACCTAGAGAAACTACAACCTAGTTTGACACCTGGTTGGGGGGAGCAGAATTTCAAAAGATGAATCTGATACAGAAAAAAGCAGCAGCAACTAAATAAAAACAGAAAGCTACCTCTGGAAGAGCAAGTGAATGGGGCTAAAGCTTTGGCCTTCTGTCATAAGGAGAGAGCCAATGTAAAAGCAGACTCAAAACAGTATTAAGAGCAGTGTCAGCACCCCCTTTTACCCCCCAAGGTGAGATCCCAAGATTAAAGACACATGTGTGGGGGCAGGATTTAGCCCAGTCATACAGCGCCTGCCTAGTAAGCAAGAGGTCCTGAATTCCATTCCTGGTATCCCCACCCCCCCAAAAAAAACACATATATGCAAAAACATCAACAATAACAGCAAGCAACATGGAGCAGAGCAGAGAGCCCAAGAGTGAAAGACAAAGAGCCACCTGAGACTTTACTGTATAATTCTTATCTCATGTTCATATACTTACACAGTACTGTAACCAGCACATGTGTTTACCTGTGCTAAGTCATTTACATAATTGAATCCCACTGCTCACCTGCACTAGACAAGCAGGGTCACATCCTGAGGTGTTCTTAGACACTGCTAAGCTTTGAAGAGTGGTTTCCCACAGGATACAATTCAACATACGAAACAGTACTCACAAAAGTCCAAGAAACACAGACTTCACATAATTGAATTAAGATTAGCATACTTATGAGTTACAGAATCAAACAAAGTGACTACTTACAAGGTCATTCATATTAGTTTGGCTAGCTGGATTAATTTCCTCTAAAAACTCCAAGACATAAAATGTGTATCTATCCATAAGATGGACTCCAATTGCAGGATCAGGTTGATGCTATGAAAACAACAACAACAACAAAATATACACATAATGACATCAGTAAAGCAAAGGCTTAAAATTCAAAGTTTCCTTCTCTGTTAAACAGGTATCTATTCATAAAGCATACACAGTGATTTCACAAATAACTACATCCCAAAATATTTCACTTACAGATAGAGAACATGCACCTACCGAGAGGGAATCTTCGCCTACTTGGCTACTGGCTAGAGCCATTATGTTAGGAGAATAAAACCGCTCATACATGGATGCTCCTTGGCAAGTGTCAATAATAAACAGTAGTTCATTGTAGCTGTAAGAAAAGTGAAAACATCTTTGACAGGACTCATGCTGTTGATCATTTCTACAATATTTCCATAAGATCTTTCTTAGCCATTTTATTAGCTGAACATTTGGCAAGTTTTCAGTAGAATTCTAGTAGAAATTTGGCATCAGAAAAGTTAAATTACCTGGATATGGCACTCAGGGAGGCTGATGCAAGAGGATCACTACTTTGAGCCCAGCATCAGTGACTTAGAGAGAGAGAGAGAGAGAGAGAGAGAGAGAGAGAGAGAGAGAGAGACAGACACACAGACACACAGACACACAGACACACAGACACACAGACAGACAGACAGGAAATGAATAAAGGAGAGGGAGGGAGGGAGAAAGAGAGGAAGAAGGATGGATGAATGGACAGACGGACGGATAAATGGATGGGGTAGGGTAAGGGGTAGAGAGGAGGACTGTATTCAATCCCCAGTATAGTAAAAACAGCTAAAGGCATAATTCTGGTCAGGGAAATCATCTCAGCAAGGAATGATAGTGCTGCTACAAAGTAGCTGCGTCAAACTTCTTCCTCTACCACGTCTGGGTCACATGGGAATGCAAACAAATATTCAAGTCAGCAACCACTTTTTTTTTTTTAAATTTTAGGGAAGGGTCTATAGGATTTTCAGGGTCTCACTACTGGATTGGACTCGTAGTGATCTGCCTATTTACAGCCTCCCAAGAGCTGGGATTACAGGAGCGCACCACCAGGGTGCAGGGCCGGCACGGCAGGCCTGGGGCCTGAACCCTGAGCCCCTGTGCCCGCTTATAGGCGCTTTAATCTGCTGAGCTATTTGGCCAGCCCTGCAACCACTTATTTAACACACAAACTACTCTAGAGAATATTATAGATTCAGAAGGAAAAAAAACTAAAGACATATATTTATCTTTATATTTATAATGAAAGATAAACACATAACTGAACTGGAACATGGCATTACACTATTACAGATAGATGGCAAGCATTTACACCATGTCTGGCACCATGCCAGGAATATAGTCATCCCTGCCCTCCTTGGGCTCACAGCTGCACAGACAGAGTGCTCTCTGGGAACTGAGAAAAGAACGGAGGGAACTGCAAAGAAAAGCAGGTCAGGGAAAGGAGATGCCCCTCATGGACAATAAAAGGCGAGTACCATTTTATCTAACAGAGAAAGAAAGAATACATTCCAGTAGAGGAAAAATACCTACTATGAAAAAGTATAAAATCTTGGGAAAGGGAAGATAATTGGGTACAAAGCAGAAACAGCTTGGTATAGCTAGGGTATAGAGTAAATTTAGGAGCCAAAGAGAAAATGGTCCTAAATAGGTCAGGGCCAATTTGTAGAGATCCCATATGAAGCCTGGATCTTATCTATATAACTCTGAGGAAGCCCCAAAATATTTGGGATGCTTAAGTTGGGATTTTAATGAAAGAATAACTGTTAGATCTCTGTGTTATCGTAAAATGGCAGCTGATTAAAGTGAAAATACAAGGAGACAGGTTTTCTGAGGAGTTTTCCTTAGACACCGGGTCTAGGGAAACAGTCAATATTGCTCCCAGAATAGGAAGCACAGAATTGCAAAACACAATAACTGAGAAAAAGATGGAAGGTACAATCAATGAAACAGTGATTTTGAGACAAAATTTGTGGAAGACCCTAAAGACTAGAAATATCTGAAATTACAAAAGTCAGTATAGTAAAATAATTAAGAGCAAGCTCTGGGATCAGACCACACCAGCATCAATCCTAACTCTGGTACTAGCAGTAGCTGTGTAAAGTTTGGCAAGTCAGCTTAAACTATCTGTGCCTTAATTTGGTCATCTGTGAAAATGAGAACAATGACATCTACCTCAGAGTTGCTATCAAAAGTGAAACAGACAATACATATGGAACACAGAGCCCGCATCCCATATGCATTCCGTAAATGTAGCTTACATAATCCGCATTCAGGAAACACTTCCTCAACACAGGTAATTATTTATTTTGTGGCACAGTGGTGTATACATTTCTCTCTTTCACTAGACTGTAAACACTTTGCAGGCCCAAAAAACTTCGTATTTCTGTGTTTGACATGTAGAGAAGAGAACCCACAACACTGACTACTGGCAGTCAAGATGCTACAATTCTGCTACTTTAAGTAACAGATATGACAATTTCAGTTTAAGAGATCATTACCAAGGATTACCAACAGAATATCATCCATAAAGCAAGTGAAGTCGCAAATTCTATGCTCATTTTAACAATTTTTTTTTTCCAGAACCGGGGATTGAACTCAGGCACTTGCACTTGCCAGGGAAGCGCTTATTCCACTGAGCCGTCTCCCCGGACCAATTTTAACAATTTTTACGAATAAATAATACTACTGTCACACTGAGATGTGAAGAATGTGCTGAAAAGTAAAAAGAGTATATACAAGCTGAAAACAAACTGATATTTAGAACCTCCATGAATAATTTGGTTGGGTAATGGATGGAAAAGACTTGTTTCCTCCAAAAAGGATTCTACATAAAAAGAGATGGTTTTAAGAGCTCAACTTTACATACTGTATAACCCTAAGTTTTTCTTTTAAAAAAAGTTCATCTCAATGGAAAGAACAAACATAAATTTGAAAAGTGGAAGGAAACAATAAAATTAAGTTAAAATTTTAGAAAATAAGAACTATGGATTTATCATTGAAAAATTAAGTATTATCTATCTTATAAAAAGAAGTCACTTGCTAGTTACCGTCTTTTCTGCCACATCTGTTCAAAAGCATCTGCAAGTTCTATGTTAGTAATTTCTTCAGAATCTTGGAATTTCAAGAAACCATTTCCACCATGTCCTTGTAAAAGAAAATCAAGTAGATACATTTTAAATGCATTTTAAATGCAAATTCCATATATCCAGATATATACACGTATTCACTATAATATTTTAATACCATTTATTTTAAACTCTAAAGTATATACTATGAAAACAAATTTAATTTTCTGCCAATCCATTCAAAAGAGAATAATGATAGATTGTATAAAACAGAGGATATATTTTTCTATCATTCATCCCAGAACCCACATTTATACTCTTTCACTGGTTTTATTATTATGTCAGAAATTCACTCCACTTGTACAAATTTTTTAAATACCAGCCAAATATTTTTGGTGAGCGAAAATCTAAAGACACAAGCTAGTCCCATGGCATGCTAGTACTATTCCCAGTGTACACTGCAGCACTCACCTAAATACTGATGTTTTTGCTACAGTTGAGAGTAAGTCTATGAGAGTAAGCCAGAAGACTGTGACACTTACTTGGTTTGCATGAAAGAGCTAGTTCGTAAGATTTAAACATTAGTTGTGTCATTTACTGACCATGCTACTTTCAGGCAAATAACCTAAGCTATGCTTCAGTTTCCTTAGCCATAAAAAGGGAAATGCATCAGCAAGCCCATTACTAGCTTGTTTAGATAGCTCCTTTGTGCAGATTTTTCTAAAGAACCTTGTAATGGGCAACAAAGTTAGGAAAAAAAACTCTAGTATCTTCCTCTGGATGCACGCAGGACGCTCTGTGAAATCACAAGTGGTTAGTGATAAGATCACTGTGAGGAGAAATATTCCTCCCTCCCTCTAGATGCAACCCTGTGGCAGGACACTCATTTTTGTGTGGAGCAATCCAAACTAGACTTCAGCTTCCACTTAACTGCAAGTCAGTGTTGCACCATAAAACCCACACAGGCATACATATCAACCTTGAATATCAGCACCCAAATCCCCAAGCTGCTATAGGATGAAATGAGGTAATACACACAACAATTTACGATATTGCAATGATGTACAGTATGCTTGAAGCTATCTTGAAAGACTACCAAGAGAATTCGAAAAAGAAATGAGTAAATCCTTTAGTTTAATATATCGACTTAAGCTGAGCTACAAAGTTGTACTTCATTTTCTTTGCTAGAAAGCAGGAAATTTCCTTAAAATTTTCAGACGTGAAAAAAAAATGAAAATTTTCCTGACTTTGTTAACTCTGTTGAGTTAATATATAAAACTGACAATCTGAGAGAATTGATAAAGTTGTAAATAAGTACTACATAATTAAGAAATACCACTATGTAGGAGTTTTAGCTCTCCTGTCACATGACAGCTAAAAATTATCAATGGAAAGCCCTCTGAAAAGTCTGACCATCTTTTGATCAATAGTCATAATTGTATCAGTAGAGAGGTAGTTGTGATAAAAAATAAAAAACAATAGACAATACCTTGGAATTGAAAATATAGCGCAGGCAATAGTTACCCAAGCAAAATAATTAAAAGTTAAATGATATGTTGGAAACTAAAAATTAATATGAACATGCAACCAGCCAAGAGTAGAAGTGTCTTTGGGAGGGCAATTATAAAATGCGTAATTCAGAGCCAGGAAGATAGCTCAGTAGAAAATGCATAATTCACATGAGGACACGTCTCAGAGAAATGAGGAGCTGTTAATAATTAGTTAGCCTGAGACAAAGACATAAATTAGGACTGTCCTAGTTGTCTCCAGGTAACTGGAGACATAGGTCACCTTAGACTTCCAAAGGAAATCACTGAAGGCACTGATTCCTGAGCTAACTCTGAAAAGATAAGGGGTGATCAGGTAGGCGAAACAGAGAAACAAAAGCAAAGATTTAAACAAAAATTTAGAGGACAGAACAGTCACATGCTGAGAATAGGAAAAAGTATAAGAACTTGGGCTGAAATTAAATAATAATATAACTAAATCATAACTTATATACTATAATATATAACTAAATTCTAATATGAGGCTCTTGATGAAAAAGCTACCACATCCCACAAATGGGGAGTGTGTTTACAATGCAATTTCATGAACCCCACCCAAGACCAAATCTGAGTTAAGAATGTCAGGGCAAAGTTTAAGTATTTACAATCAATTAATACTTACGCACCCAAAATTCGAGATGCAATCAAAAGGAAATCATTATAAAGTTTTAAGTTGAAGATTTTAAATTTCTATTAAACACATTGGTAAGAGGACCAACAGGAGAACAAAAAACTGAAGACAGAGACTGCTACAGCAGGACATCAGGCAGTACCAAGACAGGAGCAAAAAGCATAGACAGGAAAACAGGCAATAACACAAAATATTACAAAGTTGGGTACTCTTTACCCAAAATGCCTGGGGGCAGAAATGTCTTGGATTTCAGATTTTGGAATTTTTTTCTATAGGAAGAGGTATCTGGGGGAAGGGACCAAGTCAAAACACACATTTCATATACACCTCACACACACACCTGAATACAATGTACACACTATTTTTAGTCCACCTGCACTGTGACTAGTAACAGTCACATGAAGTCTGGCTATGATTTTCTACTTATAACAAAAAACAGTGCCCAAAACATTTCAGAATTTGGAACATTTCAGGTTTTAGATTTTATAGTTTAGGAATGCTCAACCCATGCCATTTTCAAATATCATTTCAAGTCATTCTATATCATAAGAATATAGAATTACATGATAAAGAAAATGAACTATTTTAATGAATAAAATGTGCTTAAAACTTTCCATGGAATCTCTTTCCAAAAAGACTTTCAGTAAATGTAACTACATCTCTAAATTCTGAAATTACCTGTCATATAAATAAGAATATTGCTTCTATCATCAGAAAGAAGACGTTTTGATCTAGGAGTACTAGGTGGGATCCTCCCAGTTAATACCCGTAAAAAATTCTCCACGGTCACCTGAAAAAAAAAGAGAAATCAAAAGAAATAGGACCTGAAGAAATCTAAAAATTATTTTTCACTTTCAAAAACATTCCTCTTTCTCTATGTATTACTAACCATAAACTGAAAGAATTAAACCTCAATTAAAATATATTCATTAAAACATATACTACCAAGAAACATTGTTACTATTAAAAACTACCTTGGAGAAAAATCAGCTAATAACAAATTTAAAAGTGAAGTATGCAAGGGCCGGCCAGATAGCTCAGTGGACTAACGTGCCTGTTTAGGTAGACACAGAGACCTGGGTTCGATCCCTATTGTGCCCTGCCGACCCCACCCCAGTGCGCACTGAGAAGGTGATTGAGACTGGGCATGGTGGTGCGTGCCTGTAATCCCAGCACTTGGGAGGCTAAAAACAGGAGAATCACTGTAAGTCCCATCTACACAGTGAGACTCTGTAGACCCTGTCCTAAATACATTTAAAAAAAACCTAAAGTATGCAAAGTATTGCCTTTAAAAACTAAAAGCTTACAAATTATTAATTTGTTTTAATAGGGATTCTTTGGGAAGACAAAACCTAGTTAGTAAATAAATTCAGCCACATTATTATAGTTTATACATATACTACTTTAAAATTCCCCCAAATTATGTATCTTTAATTGTTTAATGAATTTTTTTGTTTAGATTATGTTACGGGAATCTTTAATATGTAAAGTATTTACAATACCTAAAACCAGATTTCTAGCACTCCAAGATTCTGTGATGGCATACAATATTTTTATTTAAAGAACACAAAATGCAAATTTAAAGAAAACAGCTAAGTCATACCCATGAAACTTTTAAACATAAAAACTTCAACCCAGCTTTTTTCTGGACTTTTCTTGAGCTCCTGGGTATGACAATGTATACACTTAATGTACACTCTGCCCAGAGCACAGCAAACATAAACTGTTGTAATAGGACTTATTGGCTAATAAAGAAATGGAAATTTTGGTCTACATTTTAAAGATTAAATAGTTAAAGCAACCACTTATTGCTACAGCATTTCGCAGGTGCTTAACCCAGTAAAGATCCAGAGATTTACTTAGCCCATGTCATCAAGGGTCTTACACCTTAGGAAGATGGGGTTGCACTGCACTGGGTTGAGTTTGGTTCGGTTTTACAACACAGGATAGGGTAACCAAGGCCTTCTGCCCCAGTGCTATTTTTATTTTGAGACTAAATTGCACAGCTGGGTTCAAACTTGCAATCCTCCCACCTCAGACCCCCAGAAAGCTGGAATTAAAAGGTGTGTGCCACGATTCCAGATGAAATAGATGTGCTTTTAACAATGCTTCAAAAGAGGTCTGGAACTCAGACGATAGTGTGTCTTACTGTTGGTAGGCCTAGGAAAAGGGGAAGTATTACCTAGGGAGACTTCACACTTAAACATGGTCATAATCTATTACACTTAAAAAGAAGTTCCAAAGGAAGAAAATTCAGTACAATGGCATTTTTCATCTAATTTTTTACTTTTTTGTAGCTGTTATATATGCAGAAAAATAATAGAAATATGGATTTTAGGTTACTCATTATAATTTTCCCATAATTTTTTTCTTTTTTTTTCTTTGTACTCAGGATTGTACTCAGGACTCTATGCTTGCCAGGCAGGCACTTATTCTACTGAGCTATCTCCCCAGCCCGAATATATTTTCTAAAAACACTAAACTCAGAACTTTAGATCAAACAGAAAAAGTAAACAATATATTTCCTATAAAATAATGGATCTGTAAAACCTCACTATAATGTTGCAAGATAGAAATCAATATTAAGATTTTCTATCCTAGATACATACAAGAAACATTCTTGCTTTACTAATTTTATTTACTTATTCTTTCCCTAATACAAACTCCAGGGACAAATTACATCAAGGCTCAGGGACAATCATATGCTAAATGTCAAAAAAAAGAATGAAATATTTGTATTCTTCCAAAGTCTTGCATCTTAAAAATAACGTTTCAAAAACGTTGCTGGATTAACCAAGTTACCTCATAGCTTCGATAATCCACTTCTACGTCATCTCCGTACACATTGAGCTCCATATTCTTGTGACTGAACACGGTGGCTGGTTTGGGATTTCTAGGGTTGCAGGCCATGTCATCAGCAAGCATCAGGACGATGTGGCTGAGGGAGGGGGAAAGCCAGCAAATATCCTCTTTAAATGAAATAAAAAGTTAAAACTGATGCATTTATATCACTGAGCAGCTATATTTATAATTTTCCTTATTAAAAATAAGTGCATTTTCAACTACTTATTTTTTAACCACATTATCTTCATTATTTTTTTTTTATGAGTTCCGGTCTGCAATATAGTGACTGCATTCACCATAGGGATTGGTACATGTACAGAACACAATGCAATTCCCTTCTTTATCCCCACCTCTCAGCTAGGTATTTTTATTTTTTCAGTTATATATTTAAACTATTTTTTCATATTCTTAGGTAGCAAATTTTTCTAAAGCAGACAAAAATGGCAACCAGGCCTAAACCTAGCCACATAACTCCAAATTATTAGCTTTATTTTCCCCCCAATGAAGTTTACATTGTGCTAGTCAGCAAATGGAAGCTAAAGGACTTGCACTGGCTTCCCTAATTTTTTAAAATTTTATTTTATTTATTTATTTTTAATATATTTGGTACAAGGTCTCACTATGCAGCTCGGACTCATAGTAATCCTGTTTTCACCCCAGCGCTGGGATTATAGGCATGGGTCACCACACCCAGTCTCAGTGGCCAGCTCAGCATACCCAGGGGCAGGGCTGGCATGGTATGTGGTTCCAGGGATTGAACCCTGGTCTCTATGCTTGCTTAAGCAGGCACTTAGTCCTCTGAGCTATCTTACTGGCCCTTTAAATTTTATTTTTGAGAATGTGACATTCTCAAAATTTGCAGTTAAGAATTTAACTTTCATCAACCAATAACAAATATGGATGGACAGTTGGGAAAAAGAAATCCTTCTCCACTGTTGGTGGGAGTATAGACTGGTGAAACCACTATGGAAATCAGTGTGGAAATTTCTCAAAACACTAGCAGTAGATGTCCATTTGATTCAACTACTGCCCTTCTAGATATCTTCCCATAAGAATTAAAAACATTATGCCATAGAAGTATAAGTCACCCATGTTTATTGCAGCACAATTTGTAACAGCTAAATTTTGTCAACATCCCAAATGCCCACCAAACAAGAAATGAATAAAAAAAAATGACTTTTTATACAGTGGAGTGCTACTTAGCCATAATGAATAAACTGGAGACTTTTATAGGTAAATGGATGCAACTCAAGACCACATTCATAAGTGAAATAAATCAGACTCACATGTGTAAACATATTATCTCCCTTGTGTGAGCAGCTGAACAAGTAAATAAGATCCAACATGTACTACAGACATTGTGAAATGGGAAGAAACTGTTCAAAAGGAAAGAGAAACTGGGGTGGGGGAAAGGAAAAAAGAAGGAAAAG